TGGAACTTTTTTTCCTCCATCAGGTTTCTCAGATCACGGAAAACTTCCGCAATGGTCACACGGGTCAGTTGTCATTCATTATGGTACTTCTGCTATTGTTTACCCACGCGGCCCGTATCTTCACTACAATGCAAGAGACTGGGGACCAATACATTCTGGCTATTTTCACCCTCTCGACCGTATTCAACATTACCATGGTTACACAGATTTTGTATTATTGGAACGCAACCATTGATGCCCAAAAGAAGAAAGAGTAGGAAACACCTAGTGTTTTGATTCGCTCGAGAATAATCTAGGAAAACTTTATTTTCATTGCTATTAGTGACTACGAGAAGTCCCTCCTTTTCGGCGAAGTCCGTCGAGCGAAAAAAATTTGATGATTGCATACCGCGGGGAGCTCTGTCGAGCACCTCGCTCCCAGGGCTCTCCGCGTCGCCTCAACATCAATTTTTTTTCGCTGTAAAAGCTGGCTGCTCATATTCTATGTTAAAAATTACGATTCAAGGACAATCTGCGAACGTTAAACCCCGCAGAAATTTTCGTGCTTCTTGCTGTTTTAGGCTGATTTTGTTTCGATGCAGACAGTGAAGTGAAGTTTCCACAATTTGAGTGAATTATTTTATTATCAACATCTGTCTACTGAGAAATATTTGGTTTTTGTAAAAAAGCTAGATTTAGAATTTATGAAATTTGCCCGCGGTTATTAATTCTAACTAGTACACGTCTGTAGTAACCTAAATAACTATCTTAAATATTATCACCTGTGACACAGGCATTTCTTAACAAGAGATCGCATAATTCACGCTTAGCGTATACCTTTAAAGGAACGCATTAACTGCTCGCCAAGCAACTTGAACCAATAAAAAAATTGTTTTAAAGTTATTGACTAGAACATGAAAACTCTTGAATTTTTTTGTGTTGTTACAAAGTTCAAAACACACTTACACCTATCTACCTACCGATTAAATGCAATAAATATTAAATTATATAAATAATCAAATCTCTGAGTGAGTAGACATTGCTTTATGGAGGTTTCGCTCCGTTGCAAGTTCGCCCCCTAAGGTAAACTAGCTCGTCCTCATCTTTATCAGTACAGAAAAAGTACGTTGGTCAGCACTTCAGAATTATAACAGTGCCAAACCAGTTAGATTAAGACTGGAGTAATATAGCGGATTTGTATCACTCGCGCTGAAGTTATGCGTCGGTTATCCTTACTTTTTTTAACCTTACCCTAACTCTAACATTAGTATGCAGATTCTCCATACTGTCCGCTAAATATTTCCTAAGGTACCGGCAAGGAGAATTTATTTAATAATCAAGAGCTTCTTAAGTTGATGATCATTTCTTTGATTCTCATGACCTTAATGTGTGATTCTGGTGTGATATTGTAAGGAGAAATTAGATGCTAGTCCCTCTTAAGGGTTATGGGGTTAACGCGGCGGTAGATTTGCAAGTTGGCGAACTCGCAGTAATGGTAGCGGGCGAACTTGCAATGGGGGGAAATCTCCACATGCCTAAACAGTTGGTTTACAATGACGTCACCGCCGTTGTCGTGGTTTTCTTAGGATTTTTAATACAACGTCGCGTTGGTCATCGACTTGTCTTGAATACGCCATTGCCTGCTATGTGAACTTGCAAGGCTCGAGTTAGCCTCAGCAGAGCTAATCAGTGATGGAAAAGACTGGTTTGCCTGTGGAGTGAGACTTGATGACAAAGGGTCGCCGTAGAGTGATAACTGAACGACCTCAGTGATGTTGAAGACAAAAGCGACCAGGAAGTACAAGATAACAGGGTACTGCAGGTGATACAGATAACGTGACAGACGAACAGGAACATGCAGATGGCTGAGGAAAAAAAATAAGTAAACGAGACGTTCTTGGCTTCTTCATTCTAGTGTCGCAAAACAACAGCATCAACAAGAAAATAACAACAACGGTGAATACGAGCAAAGGTTTGCGCTCAGACGAACCGTAGCTAACTAGTCGGTTCCCCAAAGTCCATGGTCAGATTCCCAAATTTCAAAGAGAGGATAACACTATTGAGTGGATAAATCTCTATTCAGTTGATAGTGCAGAAAGTTTTGTTGACACTTATCCGCTGTATAGTAGTTTATCCGTTAGATAGCGTTATCATCCTTGGAACAACTAGGTCTTGGTCTTTAGCGAAACAACTTGCAAAGAAATAAGCTAAGGTTCTAAATCTCACCTGAAATCCAAACTATGTGCTCGTCGCAGCATTACAATAAGAAAAACACCTAATTCAGCAATCGATGTCAAGGATGCAACGTTTCCTGAAACTAAAGCAGTGCCCTGAAAAAAAATTTGAACGCCAGTTATCCTGTCATAAGGGAGGGGTGGGTAGTGTAACGAATGAAAGTAACAGGGAGTAGAGAGAAAGCATAGAGTCACTCACCACAGGGTTCAGTACCGCGACAGCAAAAACAAATCCAAACAGTGATAAAAGTATGAAAATCTTCATCAACCTGTCAAAATTTATAAGAAGCAAACTTCTTTAGATCAACCTCTCACTTCCCCTACCACCATCAAGTCAGAGTTCAACCTTTACACCCTACCATCAGTATGCATATTCTCCAAACTGGTCTCTATACATTTCCTAAGGTGCTGACAAGGAGAATTTGTTTAATAATCAAGAGCTCCTAAAGTTGGTGGTCATTTCCTTTATTCTCGTGTTAAGGGGTGATATTGTAAGGTGGAATTAGATGCTAGTCAATAGTCAAACAGAAATGTGTTAAGAACTGATGGAAAGCATAAATCTCTGGGGTGAAACCAGATTCTTATAAATACAATAAAAAAGTATTGTATGGAAAACGGTGAGAAAATGAACATTTCCAACTCATTTCATCACTGACCATCTGATATTAGCGCAGCAGTAGATTCCTTCCCGTTTGGTGTTTTGCCAGGACGTTGCAGCCGTTGGATAAAATGTGTTGAACCAGCTGTCAACTGCAACATGTAATGAACACTACACAATGTAAAATGTAATCCTAACTACCCTGCAGAGGAATCTCTCTATGAGCTTTGGAGGGGGAGGGTGGAAACTGTTGACTTAAAACAAGCAATATACAACTACACAATGTAAGCTGTACTCAACACCACCCTGCAGAGGAATTTCTCTATGAGCTGAGGAGGGGGAGGGTGGAAACTGTCAACTTAAACAAGCAATATATAGTATACAATGTAAGATTTACTCCACACCACCCTGCAGAGAAAGTTCTCTATGTGTTGAGGAGGGGGAGGGTGGAATCTTTGGACTGTAACAAGCAATATATACTACACAATGTAAGCTGTACTCCACACCACCCTGCAAAGGAATCTCTCTCTGAGCCAGGGAGGGGGAGGGTGGAAACTGTCAACTTTCAAAAGCATACACAACTACACAATGTAAGATGTACTTTACACCACCCTGCAGAGAAATCTTTCTATGAGTTGAAGAAGTGCAGGGTTAAGGCAAAATAACAGCTTGCTCTACATCATTTTTGAAAATCTGTTTCAAATTTTACATGAGCTTTCACCATTATAAAATGACTGAAAAATGTCTGCCCTCCCCCACAAGGTTACACTTAAAGTCCCAAATGAAACAATTAACTTAATCAGTATTTTATCTCTCCTTGCAGTGCTAGAAGGTTCTATGTTGCAATCTACTCACTCATGTGTTTCAATCCTGTTCCCATTGTAAAAAATGAGACCGTTACACTGATAATCAACGATATTTGAATGAGAAGAGGAATCCAACCATGGGTTGGGTAGTTTGATCCTACAATCTGTGAGGTAGACAAAATAGAAAGAAACAAAGAGAACCTTCGTGATATATCAGGATGAAGGGTATTGGAAACAAGTCTGTACTCATGGCAAGTGGCTTATCCAGATGGAGCTTATTCCAGTTTCCATAGCATGAAATGACCAGGAGTATTACCCCCCCCCCTCCCCCCAGCATTTCATCAAGCTTCCTTTAACAATCACCAGTACCCATTTATGCTCCTGGGTGGAGAGAGGCATGGGGAGAGTAAAGAGGTTAGCCCAGGAACACAACACCATAATCCAGGGGGTGTCTGAACCCTTGACCTCTTAATCTATAGTCTAGGAAGATTTCAAGAGATTTAAAACAAAGTGATTGGTGAAACAGCACAGAAAAAGTGTAGTACCTTTGCTAAGGGATAAGTAACACCATATCTTGCAACCCTGAAAGAAATAATTTCTATCAATTTTAAAATGTTATGTTGAAACAGTTTTTCAATTTCAAGGGAAAAAAAGGAAGATACTAACCAAAAAGTGGTAATTGTTACATAGGTCAACACTCCAGCAATAACAGATCCATAAAACCAACGAATCTGTGAAAATTTGAAGCAAAAAAGAATTTCTGATTTTGAATTTTTTTCACTTATTTCAACCCACATCCCTGATTTAGTTATGAACAATTTACATTACACAGTTTTTTGATATTTCATTTACACAAGTAGTAATTATTAATTTAAACAAAAAGAGTAATATTTGCAAGGTCAAATTTATTTTAGTTTGCTCCTTACCTCTGAAATGCAAGGCTTCATTTTTGCAAAAAGCACTGGGAGGATGTTGACAATCACTCCTGAAAATTTATTCAAATTATATAAAAGTCAAAGGATTGCAAATATCTTAAACTGTGCAGTTATGAGAATCCATCTTCCAACCCTATCACTATCAATCCCACCACACATCCCAAAATATTGCAAAAGAGATAGTACCCAGGCCAAAACCCTTCACATAGTTCCCTCAGTTATAAATATAAATGAACAATTATTGTTCTCTTTAGGTGAACTGATCACTAGAGTACACTCACCCATTGTAATTGTGCCAGAAACCAAAGGCTGACCAACATATTTCAATTCACCAAAAATTGGAACACTGATTATGTGGCTCTCTAGCTTCAAAGTTGCCCAAACCTGGAAAAAAAATTTTTGCTGATTCAATCTCACTAATAATTAATATAAATCTATAAATTGTCACTGACAGTAGAGTAAGTTGAAGAAGTGATGAAAAGCAGAAAGCAAAATGTTCTTTAAAAAATTCAACAATGTAAACTTAGAAAAATATGTTTTAAATATTATTTTTAATTTTTTTAAACATATTATCAAAAGAAATCAGTTAAGTGTCAATCATCCCTTGGTTATTGCTCATTGAACTTTCAACCATGTTGAATTCAAATCTATTAAACCCATCTGTCAAGGAAGGCAGTTGCTACATTTTTTGACAAACTCATCTGAATACTTCAAACTGACATGAAAAGAAACATATATGGCATAAAACCCAACAACTTGTGACAAATTCCAATTCATCTTGGGTACAGTGGACAAAAGCCTTTATAATGAAGATTAATTTATAAAATCTGACTTAGAATTCTCGTTATTGATTTTTACCCAGTCAGACTACAGAACTATGTACTTACGGTGACAGCAAGG